TATTTTTAAGCAAAAGTCGAGAACGGCCTATACTTAATATAATCAATAATATAATGATCAGTTGAAAACAATTATTAAAGTAAATGCAGAAGACCTAACACGTTATAATTTTACTTCTCCAAAAATATGAAATTATACAAATAATATAAATGCATAAAATTTATTATTGAATTTATTGAATTAGATTAAATATTAAATTTTTCTATATTCGGGTTCTATTATTTGAAGTAATGATAATTTAAAGAACATAGAGCAAAAATTGAGAAATTGAATACTTATATACATTTTTATAAAATTAAATATTAAATATTTTCAGTTAATTATTAAAAATGTTATAATAAATTCAAACACATTTTTTCATCTTATCAAAATTATATTCTGCTATAAAATGTTCCTAAAATTTCAATATAAATTATACTTTATTTTTACTTTTTTTAATATATTTACATAGGAGGAAATATAGGCCTAATATAATACTTAATTACGAAATTACGAAGTCTGTCAAAATAAAATATTTTTTAATGAATAAATTTTTTTCATTTTCTTACAGGAAATAAGTATTACGTTTGTGTACTGTGTATAATTATTACGTTTATATCAATTTTATCTTTTTAAATTTTAATTTATTGCTCTTCATGTTCATTAATAAATTCTCTCTCTCTCTCTCTCTCTCTCTCTCTCTCCCCTCTCTCTGTCTCTCTCTTTCTCTCTCTCCCTCTCTCTCTGTCTCTCTCTTTCTCTCCGTCTCTCTCTCTGTCCCTCTTTCTCTCTCTTTTCTCTCTCCTTCTCTCCGTCTTTCTCACTCTATCTCCGTCTCTCTCCGGTCTCTTTCTTCTCTGCGCCGCTTTCATATCTCTCTTTCTCTCTTTACCCTCTTTCTCTCTGTCTCTCTCTTTGTCTCCGTCTCTCTATCTCTCTCTCTCTCTCTCTCGGTGTCTCTCTCTCTCTTAGTCTCTCTCTTTCCGTCTCTCTCACTGTCTCTCCCTCTCTCTCTCTCTCTCTCTCTCTCTCTCTCTCTCTCTCTCTCTCTCTCTCTCTCTCTCTCTCTCTCTCTCTCTCTCTCTCTCTCTCTCTCTCTCTCTCTCTCTCTCTCTCTCTCTCTTCTCTCTCTTTCTCTCGTCTCTCGCTCTCTTTCGTCTCTCTCACGGTCCGTCTCTCTCTCTCTCTCTCTCTCTCTCTCTCTCTCTCTCTCTCTCTCTCTCTCTCTCTTTCCGTCTTTCTCACTCTCTCTTTCCGTCTCTCTCACTGTCTCTCTCCCTTTTGTCTTTCTCTCCGTCTTTCTCTCCGTCTTCTCTCTTTCTCTCTCTCTCTCTTCCCCGTCTCTCCGTTTCTCTCTTTTTCTCTCTTTCCCTCTCCGTCTCTTTCTCGGTCTCTCTCTTTTCATAAATCATAAATCGTTCGTCACATTTGATTTTTTTATATAATTTTCTGCGTTACAATATATGAGTCATATGTTTAATTAATTGTTGTTTGTAAAAGATTTCTATGACAAAAATGATGTAATAAAATAATCATAATAAAAGATTTTATAGTATAAAGGTTTTTATTTGTCGTAATTTTTGATATCATTATTTTTTTTAGAAATATTTAATCATTTTGTACAATAAAAATATATTTTATAAAATTAAAATGACATTTTTTATAGCATTTTTTTTATAGTAATTTAAAAAGATTGTTTTTTTGTATAACACTTTTTCACATGTGTTTGAGATGCAAAATAAATCTTATCGTCTGTTAATTACTTCGGCAGTAAAACGTTATTAGGATTTTCAATTTATACAAAATTCGATCTCGAAAATAGTTATTTGGTAAATTCTGGAATCATCGATCAGTAATAATAAAGTCACGTTTGTTTTGTATAATAGAATAAAAAGAAGTCGTAAATTTACAGCTGTCACATAAAAAACGCTCAAATATACAAACAAGTAACGGTGTCGCAACCGTTCCGCCGAATAATTACATGCTATTGAGCATGCGCTACTTTAAAAATCACGCAAATTATTGGCGCTTCACGCGAAGGTGGGCTCCGCTCCAAAATTTATAAAAGAGGAGCTCACCCCGGCGTAGGGGCCTTATCGCTTTCCGCCGTGTACGCGTAAGTCAAAACCGCCTAAAAAAAACCGCAGAACATTTATATCGACAACCGCCGCTCTTTCTTTTGATTTGATTTCTCTGAAACTAAACTTTATGTAATTTTGTGCGTGTAATTGTTAAATATTGTACATTATATTTTAGTAAAGATTCGTATATTAAAGGTTTCTTTATACTACAAGTGACTCATCCTTTGTCGTGTCGCGCGATTCCTCACGCAGCGCGTTCGCGAACATATTTTTGGTCCTTCGAGCCGGATCTTCTCGCCGGCACCCGCAAGTTTGTGAACGTGACTTCGTGTAGTTCGTGGGTGCTCTTAGTTCACCATGGATGTGAACACGTTGATCGACTGTCAACGTGAGATCCAGGTCCGCATTTCACGTTCCGTGGAATATTTGAAGAAGCTGGGCACCACCAACATCACCGCCAGTGCCGTATCCACACGCACCAGAATCTTAGATCAGCTGTGGACGAAATTCGAGACACAGCATGATCTCATTCGAGCGGCTCTGAAAGAGAAATTTTGCGAGAGCGATTACTACAAGTCGGAGTTACATGGCGATACGGAAAATCTGTACGTTGCACAACGCAGTACTTTAGATAGTTATACCGAACATTTTCGGAAGCCGAACGTGTCTCCATCCGTCGACGTCGCATCAAAGTCTTCGCTGCCACGCATCAAGTTGCCGCCGTTCTCTGGCGCCTACGCTGACTGGCCATCCTTTCGCGATCTCTTCCTGTCCGTCGTGAGCAGCAATTCAATCTCGAACATTGAGCGCCTTCATCACCTCCGCTCGTGTCTGACAGGTCCGGCTGAAAAGTTGATAAAGTCACTACCTGTCACGAGTGACAATTACGATCGCGCTTGGGCAATCTTGGACAAGCACTACAATAACAAAAGAGAGTTGATCCGCTCCAACTTTGCCACGTTTACCGCCGTGCCAAAGATGAAGGGAGATACCGCCGAGGAGCTGAGCCGCATTCACAACGCTGTCACCGCCGCAGTCAACGCACAGGAGAGCATCGGACGTCCTATCAACTCGCACGGGATGGATCTGTTCAACCACATGGTCGTCGAATTGTTCGACGCACGCACTCGTCTCGAATGGGAGTCAACCACTTCAGACCCCACCGAACCACCACGGAACGAGGCACTTCTCGACTTCATTAGTCGACGGATCTTGACACTCAACGCCGCACGACCGAGGAGTGTCACAAAAGGATCTGGAGAGACATCACGATTCGTCAAAGCGCACGTCACGAAGCACCAAGGCACAGATTCACCTCAGTGTGTACTGTGCCGTGAAAACCATACACTGATGACGTGCAAGGGCTTCAAGGCCAAGACCGCGGTTGAGCGGAAAACGTTCGTGGAGGCCAACCGACTGTGCTTCAACTGCCTAGGCAATCATTTCCTAGCACGGTGTCAATCAAAAAGGAACTGCCTCACGTGCAACGCGCGACACCACACCATGCTGCACGGGGCAGCCACATCAACACCATCTGCTGAGGCCACTTCACTTGCCACCACACTGGCCACTGCACGGCAAACTGAAACACACAAGGCCGTCCTTCTCGCAACCGCTCGCGTCAAGATCGCTGATCGCTACGGATCACCACACGAGGTTCGAGTCTTGATAGACCAGTGCTCCGAGGTGTCCATCATCTCTGAGGCACTGGCTCAGCGTCTTCGGCTGCCTCGAGCTTCAACAGATCTGTCCATCTTTGGCATCGGAGGGACTCGCTCTGGATCAGCGCGTGGCAAGGTCACGCTAGACATCACATCTGACGTGACCAATGTCGAGCTCCGCGTGGTTGCTTTTGTGCTGCCTCGCATCTCATTGCAGCAAGGCACCTCTCAACGCGAAGATCGTAGCTGGCCTCACATCCAAGGACTTCGACTGGCCGACCCGCGCTTCCTGGACGACGATCCTGCGGAGTTACTTCTTGGAGCAGAAGTTTACGCATTGATCCTCGAGGAAGGTCTTCGCAAGGGCGGATCACGGATGCCGATCGCCCAACACGAGCTTAGGATGGATCCTGTCCGGGGGCTACGATGCAGCAGCAACCGAAGGACATCGCAGCACGTTCCAGTGCACCGCAGACCACGACCTCGCTGACATGGTTCGACGCTTCTGGGAGCAGGAACGCGAGCCAGTGGCTGGGACACCGCTTACCGCCGATGAAGCCAGATGCGAGGACATCTACGTGCGCACGGTCACACGCACGTCCAGTGGAAGATACATGGTGAGGCTGCCATTTACTTCACCGCCGCCGACATCGCTCAGCGAGACTCGTCGACCTGCTGAACGCCTACTGGATGCCATGGAGCGGAAAGGAGCACGAGATCGTCGTTTCGGTGACCTCTATCTAGACTTCATGGAGGAATACGAGAACCTACAACATATGGAGAAGGTTAGCACAACTACAACAACTGGCAGCCCCAGGTGTTACTTACCGCATCACGGGGTCCTCAAGGAGTCAAGCACGACCACGAAGCTCAGGGTCGTGTTCAACGGCTCCCAGCGCACACGGTCCGGAGAGTCGCTGAACGCACACCTCCTCACTGGAGCCAATCTCTTGCCAGCACTCGCTGACGTCCTACTTCGTTGGCGTTGGCATCGGTACGTGCTCGTCACGGACATCAAGAAAATGTACCGACAAATCCTCGTGCATCCGGAGGACTGTCGCCTGCAAACTATCCTGTGGCGCCACAACAGCTCTGACGACGTCCACGAGTACGAGCTGAGGACCGTGACCTATGGGCTAGCGTGTGCACCCTTCCTTGCCATCAGGACTCTTTATCAACTCGCAGCAGACGAAGAGGCACGATATCCACTCGGAGTCAAGGCACTGCGACACGACTGCTACGTCGACGACGTGGTCACCGGCGGTAACCCGTGACCATGATGGTCGATAGCTTGGAAGATGCTATCGACCTTCAGCAGGAACTACGGAGTCTTTGCACGGCGGGCGGATTTCCTTTGAGAAAGTGGGCCGCCAACGATCCTCAGGTGCTCACAGGAATTCCACCAGAACATCAGCTGCAACGTGGGCCGCACTCATGGGAAGAAGAGAGTCACGCTACCCTGGCCCTCCGATGGCATCCTCAAGGCGATTGGTTCTCCTTCTCAATTCGTCCACGTCCAGTCACTGATCTCACAAAGCGACGAGTTCTAGCCGAAACGGCTCGGCTCTTTGATCCGATGGGTTGGCTCGCGCCTGTCGTCATCAGAGCCAAAATTCTGATCCAGACGACGTGGCTTCAACGGCTGGATTGGGACTCTCCGCTGCCTGATCAGGACGCACACCGCTGGAGGCAGTTGTTGGATCAGCTTCCTCTATTGGATAACATCCGTGTAACTCGCTGGCTCAACACCGGAGACGACCATTCGCAACTGCAGCTCCATGGGTTTGCCGACGCTTCAGAGCGAGGATACGCCGCCGTGGTGTACATCCGCAACGCTGCAACAGAAAAAACGTCAATCAACCTATTGATGGCAAAATCGAAGGTCGCGCCTGTCAAGCAGGTGTCGTTACCTCGCTTGGAACTCTGTGCAGCAGCTCTACTTACCACGCTCATGCTCCACGTGCGCGCTACTCTCGGTTTGACAACGACGCCGGTGCATCTGTGGTCAGATTCAAGGGTCACACTTCATTGGATCCGCGGACACAGCACCCGTTGGAAAACCTTCGTCGCCAACCGAGTATCTCAGATCCAGACCCTGCTTCCAGACGCTCAATGGAGACACGTCGCTGGACGAGAGAATCCTGCAGATTGCGCATCGCGCGGTGTTACTCCTGCTGAATTAATCAATCATGAGTTGTGGTGGACAGGACCTACCTGGCTCTCAGGAGACGAGACTGCATGGCCGGGTTCAAACATCGACGTCCCAGAGGATGACCTCCCGGAGCAGCGAGCCACCAGTCTGGTAATCAAGGCACCGGTCTCGGCAGAACCTGACCTCCTCCTCCGGTTTCCAACGCTGCACAGGCTGCTGCGGGTTACGGCATGGTGTCGGCGATGGCTCAATCAGGCGAGACGTGACGCCATACCTGGCCGTCCATTGCATCCGGACGAGCTGGACGTCGCCTTATTTCGATGGCTGCGAGTGGTGCAGGCGCTCCACTTTCCTACGGACGTAGCTGCGGCTTCTGCTGGACGCACTAGCCCACCACGAAGCCACCTAGCGATGTTGAGTCCGGTCCTCGATGATCAAGGCGTGCTGCGCGTCGGAGGACGTCTCAAACATGCTCAGCTACCACTCGACGAGAAACATCCAATGATCATCCCGGCGGCATCATGGTTGACTCGGCTGGTGATCGATTCCTGCCACCGACGGACGCTGCACGGAGGTGTGCAACTGACTCTCGGCCTGCTCCGCCTGCGCTTCTGGGTGCCTCGAGGAAGGACCACCGTCAAACAGCAGCTACACCGATGCATAACCTGCACTCGATGGCGCGCCGCCACACCACAGCCTCCGATGGGTAACCTTCCTCGGGAGCGAGTAACGCCAACTCGACCGTTCCTCAGCACCGGCTTGGACTACGCGGGACCAATCCTCCTCCGGACCAGCAAGGGGCGTGGACACCGTGCGCACAAGGGGTACATCGCAGTCTTCGTCTGCTTCTGGTCAAAGGCCGTTCACTTAGAAGTCGTCTCAGACTACACCTCGGAGGCCTTCATCGCCGCTCTGCGCCGCTTCGTCTCCCGCAGGGGCCTGTGTGCTGAGATCTACAGCGACTGTGGCACGACTTTCATCGGAGCAGATCGGACGCTGCGAGGTCTCTTCAACGCAGCGACAGCCGAAGGTCAAAGTGTCATCCTTGCCGCCACCGCTCAAGGAATCCGCTGGCACTTCAACCCGCCAGCGGCCCCGCATTTTGGTGGTTTATGGGAGGCCGCCGTAAAGTCGACCAAGTTCCACCTCCGTCGGGTGATCGGCGCGACCACCCTCACGTTCGAGGAGTTGAGCACACTCCTTGCACAAATTGAAGCCTGTCTTAACTCACGTCCGTTGCAGGCACTCTCAGATGATCCAGAGGACGTCTCGGCGCTGACCCCCGGTCACTTCCTCATCGGGACACCGCTCCTCGCCTTGTCAGAACCGTCATTGACAGAGCAGACGGTGTCCACCTTGTCACGTTGGCGTCATCTGCAGCGGATGAGGGATCACTTCTGGCAGCGATGGTCATCCGAATACATGCACGGACTCGCCCCACGCACCAAGTGGCTCAAGGATGCACCTGCACCCCACGTCGGCGATCTCTGCCTCGTTCGCTCCGAGATCACCCCCCCGAACCGATGGCCCCTCGCTCGCATATCGCGTTTGCACCCCGGGGACGATGGAGTTACACGCGTAGTGACGATCCGAACGGCCACGTCCGAGCTCGTGCGCCCACTCGTCAAGCTCGTGTTTCTTCCGGGCGTGAACGACGTTCCTACACCGCACGTTGACACATAGCATCACTCACTACACGATCATCACGTCATGCACCATATCAACTGTCACACTTCACTCATTTCACTCATCACCTCACTATAACACTTGTCTCGTTTTCACCGTTCACTGCATCATTCACTCGCCGTTCACATCTGCCACATGCTTTCGCCGTTTCAGCTGATCGATTCGCAGCACGTGATCACCACGTGTTTTCGTCGACTCAGCTGATCGACTCACAACACGCGATCATCACGTGAATTTCGCCGCGCCGACACGAGCCCGCCCCACCATCAACCGCTATCGGAATGTGATCCGCGCCGGAAACATCATCAACCTTTTGTCACGTTGCGCCAAGGCGGGCGGGATGTTTGAGATGCAAAATAAATCTTATCGTCTGTTAATTACTTCGGCAGTAAAACGTTATTAGGATTTTCAATTTATACAAAATTCGATCTCGAAAGTAGTTATTTGGTAAATTCTGGAATCATCGATCAGTAATAATAAAGTCACGTTTGTTTTGTATAATAGAATAAAAAGAAGTCGTAAATTTACAGCTGTCACATAAAAAACGCTCAAATATACAAACAAGTAACGGTGTCGCAACCGTTCCGCCGAATAATTACATGCTATTGAGCATGCGCTACTTTAAAAATCACGCAAATTATTGGCGCTTCACGCGAAGGTGGGCTCCGCTCCAAAATTTATAAAAGAGGAGCTCACCCCGGCGTAGGGGCCTTATCGCTTTCCGCCGTGTACGCGTAAGTCAAAACCGCCTCAAAAAAAACCCGCAGAACATTTATATCGACAACCGCCGCTCTTCTTTTGATTTGATTTCTCCGCTGAAACTAATTAAACTTTATGTAAATTTTGTGCGTGTAATTGTTAAATATTGTACATTATATTTTAGTAAAGATTCGTATATTAAAGGTTTCTTTATACTACAAGTGACTCATCCTTTGTCGTGTCGCGCGATTCCTCACGCAGCGCGTTCGCGAACAACATGAGCACGTAAACTTGTCGCCTTTTTTTCCTTTTTTTATAAAAGGTAAGTTTTTTATGGTTTTAGAAGACGTGCAAGAAGATCAAAAGAAAAAAAGAAGAAAAGAAGATCAATAAGAAGAAAAGAAGATCAAGAAAGAAGAAACGAAGAGCGAGAAAGAAGAAAAGAAGATAAAGAAAGAAGAAAAGAAAAAAATTATAAGGCTGCTGTGCGCCTGTTGTGTTTTTCAAAAACGGCTGCTGTGCGCCTAAAAATAAGTGGCTGCTGTGCGCCCATACAAGGCTGCTGTGCGCCTAAAAGTAGTGGCTGCTTTGCGCCTATAAAGAGTGGCTGCTGTGCGCCTATAAAAAGTGGCTGCTGTGCGCCCATACAAGGCTGCTGTGCGCCTATGAAAAGGAGCTGCTGTGCGCCTTTAAAGAGTGGCTGCTTTGCACCGATAAAGAGTGGCTGCTTTGCGCCGATAAATTATTACATATTTAAAAAAATATATATATATATAATAAAAATGTCTATAAAGACAAAAATATATAGAATTTTATCTCCTGAGGATAAAAATATAATTGTTCGAGGTGAATGGTTAACTGATAAACATATGGAACATTTTGATTATTTATTACAAAATTTTTCGGATTATAGACCTGTCGAAACATGGCGATTACAACTTCTTGATACGATTCAGCCTATGCCAATTGATAAAAAACATATACAAATATTACATAGTTCGTCAGGTCCATCAGATGGACATTGGGTGTGCAGTTACTATGATACAAAAATATATTTATTTATGATTCATTAAATAATAAAAAATTGCATAGACATCATGAACAATTCTTGAAAAGATTATTTCCAACATATAACTTCGAAAAAAATTCTATCCAATTTCCTACTGTACAATACCAACCAAACAGTAGCGATTGCGGAGTTTTTGCAATAGCCTTTGCAATTTCATTGTTATTCAATATTAAACCCGAAAAATAAAATATGATCATAGTTTAATGCGTTTGCATTTAATTAAGATTTTTGAATCTAATGTTATTGAGCATTTTCCACAAAATCCACAATATGCTTCTCAAAAGGTGCTTCCATTAGCAGTAATAAAAGCAAGAGAGATTGAAGCATCTCGTAAACGTACTATACGTCAATATAAGACGGAACGACAATATTTGAATCGGTTAGAAGAGCAACGTCATATTTACCAACTTGAAAAAGAGTTAATTAATAATCAATTTCAATTAACAGAAAATAATTCAAATAATTTAATGAAAACAAACAATGATATTTATGAAGAAACTAAGAAGCATGCCTTGGAAAATCATTGTGTAAATAAACGTGCACGCTATTCACAAGATTTAGAACAAAATCAGGCTAAACAACATGATTTTTTGAGCAAGATTCGAAGAATAATTGCATTGAACAGCACGATCTGTATAAACAGAGCTTAGAAGATATACGCGCTAAACGACGTGATTGTTATAAACAAAATATAGAAGACATTTGCGCTAAACAGCGCAATCGATATAGACGAAATTTAAAAGATAATCGCGCTAAACAGTGTAATCGTTATAAACAAAATTTAGAAGACAATCGCGCTAAAAAGCGTAATCGATATCAACGTAACTTAGAAGATGAACGCATTAAAGTTCGATATCGATATGAACAAGATTTAGAAAATAAACGCGCACAAAAGCGTATGCGTTATTCGAAAAACTTTGAATATGAACGAGATAGACAAAAAAGATTGATTCTAATCGCAAATGGCTTTATAATAAGCGATATTATCAGACAAAAAGACAAAAAATCAAAACAAATCTACATTTGAAATAAAACTTTTAATATTGCTAAACAAATTACTAAAAAGTATAAACAATTCTGTTCGAAGAATACCATAAAACTTCGTAATTGTTCAGAAATATTTATAAAAAATTATTGAAAAAATCAATATTAAAGGTTATATTGAGAAACGATTAGAAGCAGAAAAATTGTACGTTGGTGCATGTGTATTAGGAAAATTATATTCGCAATATATACAAAATGTTAAGTTTGATTAAAAAGAAATCAGAAGTGTATTTGACTCTTGTCGCAGATTGTTCTACAATCGAAGACAAATTAACTGCGCTATGTGGCGAATCTAGACATACAGCCTCATCTGAAAATTATTTTATTGAGTCTACATATCATCATGATGTAAATCCATTGAAAACTTGATAATGAATGAAAAAGGAAAAGTAGTAAACATATTACCATTAACAACAGAACAAGCTAAAAATCTTGGTCGTGTAATATTTCAGACTATAAAACTAACAATCCACTTTTAATTGACCGTTCTCATAAGTCTCTTAAAACCATAAATACATGTACCTTAAACAATGAACCAAAACTGATGTGTAATACTGCAAGCTGTAAAATTAACGATCCGCTTTTATTGATCGTTATCAGAATTTTCTTGAAACCGTAAATACATGTACTTTAAAAATGTACCAAAACTTATGCAAAATATTCATAAATGTACAATGAAAATTTCAAATGAGAAATTGGGTCATACGCGTAGCTGTTATATTAATATAACACTTTGCGAAGGAATGTTTCTTCCAGTTCAATTATTATCGCCTCATTTTCCAAAAGTAAGATATATAAAGCGTTTAATTTATCAACTTACATATTTTTATAGAAAGTTGGAAAATCTAGATGATGCTTTAAATAATGCTGATATGAATACTTTGAATGAAATTGTGACTTATGCACAGGAGAAAGTAGATATGTACAGACATCAACGGATTGATACAATTTTGAGTGATGATGATATTATGTTTAAATATCGTTTAGCATTTAAAGCATTGACTAAACGCACTGTGGACACACCACGACATGTTTGTGTATCATGCGAGAGATTGTGTTATAAAAAAAGTGTTTCTAAAGTCAATAGTCTACAGACACAAGTACATGTTAAAATTTGGAAAGATTTAATGACGTATGTACAACAACAAAAAGTTGATGCGCAATATATATGTAATTATTGTGCAGGCAATTTAGTAAAGGCTTAATGCCATACTGCGTCTTAAATAATCTCTTTACAAATCAGGTGCCTGAAGTAATATCATCTCTTAATACATTCGAAAAATTCTTATACAGAGAGCTAAAGCGTTTCAAACTGTCCTTAAAATGGGAACTGTTATTAATAAAAGTTGCCTCAAAGACAAATGGTATCAAAAGTTAAAGGTAGAACATTTCAATGCAAAATTAATACCTAATCAAACCATCACATACCAATGCCAAGCTCGTATGACAATAAAAACATGAATAAATTATTGAATTAGGCCATGTGTAA